GTAAGACCTCCATTCATCTTCAGAACACAAATTAAGATATTTTTGATGAAATCCGAGAGCTTTCTGACCCTCCATAGACAGCAATGCAACTGTCAAAAGTTCAAGGCCCAGAAACGTAGTGAAGACATCGTTAAAATAGTAAATATGTGACATCAGTGGTTCAACCGTAATTTTATGAAGCTACAAGAATAATTTTGTGCACAAAGAAAACAAAAATAATGATTTTATTCAACAATTTCTTCCCTTCCGTGTCAGTCTTTGACGCACATTCACGAAAGTACCACGACGCATGCGTGTGATGCTGCTGATGCAGGAGCCGGTGCTCTGATGTAAAAACCGGACGCGCTGCGGCTTATTTACAAGCAGAGGAATGCACATGCGGTATGTAAAACAGTCTTCGTAAACATGTCTGAAGATTTCGACAGAGAGGATGACTTGCAATTTTTTTATAATTATAATTAATAATTTATGCATTTAGCAGACGCTTTTATCCAAAGCGACTTACAGTGCATTCAGGCTATACATGTTTTACCATTTTTTGCCCATCCTTACTTATTTGAACCAGAATTGAACCAGACAATGAACTAAGAGTGATGGACGTTCTACGTCAGAACACTGGCTTCTACATCAGCAGCATCACACGCATGTGTCGCGGTACTATCTTGAATGCGCATCGAAGATTGACACGGAAGAGAAGAAATTGCTGAATAAAGTTATTTTTGTTTGAAACAAAACAAAGACTGGGAGAGTTATCTGAAACTTTATGATAGTGACATTGAAGTCATGTTTTGCATGCAAACTCGTAAAATTGGTTATTTCAATAAACTGATCTTTGCTAGTTATCAGCGTAATGGTGTGCATGTAAGGATGCTTCAGGTGTGTTTGATCTAAAATCTGCCTGATTTAAATATGGTGGTCACTCCTAAAACTTTATTGTGTGTATGTGGTCAAAGAGAGGCTGATTTCATCACAGACCTCTTCTGTGCCTCATTTAACCAGTACCTCACGTCTGTCTTCACCACAGTTTAACTAACAGACATGTTTTTGCATTTCCTCTTTGTGGGAGGAAGAATGTGGAGGCAGTTTCCCTGTGCTGCTAAGATAAGGTTAAAATGCTCTCGGGGGGAACGGTTAAGGTTGAAAGTGAACAGGAAAAGGAAATGCAGAGTATGAGGTATGACTTGAGGGTAAGTCACAAAGTGTGAGGGATCTGCTTTACGACCAGGACACAGCAGATAAACGCAGCGCTCTCAGTCTAATCTAACATCTGCTTTCAAGACCCACATCCTGAGGACTGGAAACATTAAAGGAGAAACGCTCTGACACTGTTGTGCTGTTTTTGGAAATATTAACATTTTTGGGAGCTGTAATTTCAGTGTGCAGAGTGCAGACATTATTCTTTGTTTATTAGATGATACACAAGTAGCCTTGGCCCACATGGAACCTGCGCCTGCAGAACTCCACTGAAATTTCCATATAAATGTTTTTTTTTTTTTTTATATATTTTTTGTCTAATTCAATAATATGTTCAGCTACCAATAACAGCTTCAAACTTTCAAAACCTGTTTACCAAACTTTAACATGTTTAAACTAGTGCTGTCAAACGATTAATTGCATCCAAAATAAAAGTTTTTGTTTACATAATACATGTGTGTATACTGTGTGTATTTATTATGTATATATAAGTACAAACACATGCATGTATATATTTATGAAAATTTTTTACGTTTATGTATTAAATATATTTATATATAATATAAAATATAATCATATAAATATATAAATGTATATACATATACATCTTTTCAAAATATATACTGTATGTGTGTATTTATATATACATAATACATAAACACAGTACACATACATATTTTATGTAAACAAAAACTTTTATTTTGGATGCAATTAATCGTTTGACAGCACTAGTTTAAATCCATTGAGCTGAAATCAGACCTCAATAATCTCACATTTCTCTGCCACAAAAGATGTCACCAATGTGCTCAAATTTGCCATGATATCACATCAGAGATTTCAGTATGAATGAATCAAACTGATACAAGATCAAATTATTAGAGCTCTGCTATCAGCATTTACTGTCAGTCTGAATGGTTTCTATTTTAATTTCTCAAGAGGAATATTAGGAGAAACATCTGAGGCGAATTGATACTTAAAATAAAGATAACAGAGAACTATAAAAAGTCTCGAGTCATAAAATAGCAACCTTTTGGCAAAATTTGAAAAAGAAGAACAATTATTTGCACTGAATGGGCACTTGTAATGTACTTCCACTTCATTTTAAGGTCCAATTCTCGCTATTAACAAACCATTACCTACAACTTTTGCCTCAATAAACTCCTAATTTGCTGCTTATTAATAGTTAGTAAGGTAGTTGTTAAGTTTAGTTATTGGAGATGTAGAACATGGTCATGCAGAATTTGTGCTTTATAAGTACTAATAAACAGCCAATATCTTAATAAAAGGCATGCTAATAAGCAACTAGTTAATAGATTTGGTCCCTAAACTAAAGTGTTACCGTATAGCTGTACTTGCAGACAGTGTTGAGTGTAATGTATTACTAAGTAATTAATTAGCTGAAGTGCAAAAGCTGTTGTTAAATGGTGTGCTCCTTGGTGTATTAAACTGAAAAGCATGCCTCCAATCCCCTAACTGAATTGTGCATTATTTTTTCTTACTTTTGAGTCTACTGAAAATGTTTACGCAATTCAAACAATAAGTATAGTTTTGGTGCTCTTTAATTTGGCATGTCACTGATGTCAGATCACCGTAGCCACCTCTATTCAAGCAGCATGTGAACGATCACCTACTACTAGTTACAGTATGAAATACACATGAATGAACATCAGAAGGTGTTGATAGAAACAGTACAACTTGCTGAAATGTATCATGTGTCATATAATCACTCAGTGTTTCAAACGCATAAAGACAAGAACCTGTCCGGGGAAAAGAGGACGTATGGTCACCCTAATTTATAATCTATTGCTAATAGGGTTATGCCGGTATCAAATTTTCATGTTGCGATTAATTGCTAATGCTTTTATCACGGTATACGGTATTATCACGATACTGAAATTTAGTTTTAAAAAAAGTGCTGTCATAATACAGTATAACAGGTTTAATAACTTTTTTCTTATAACAAAAATAACTGAACATTTAAATGCAATAAAGCAATACAGAAATATAAGGGTTTACTCTTAGTTTTTTCTGTAATTTAATTACAGTTACTTCTGATGTAATTACATTAAATACTGTATAGAACAATAGTGGATTTAACATCAGAATGTAACATAATGTTAAAATATATGTTTTTAATGTAACCTTCTCCCTTTAAATACTTTGGTCAGTTCAAGAATAATTTATGCAATTTTGTATTGTTTATTTTTAGTTTCATGTCTATTGTTCAACTGGTTGAGGTTGATATGGGACTTAGAAAGTAATTAGTAATAAGTAATGCAATACTTTTTAGAGCGAGTAATTAGTACAGTAATCTAATTACACTGTTGAATATGTAATTAATAGCTAGAAATTAATTACATTTTAGAGTAACTTGCCCAACACTGCTTGCAGATGATATATTAATGAAATTAATGTCCACTTAAGTGAACATTTAAAGAGAGATACTTTCATGACTTCACTTTTTTTTTTAAAGTGCCATTTTTAATAATGTCAAATTATTTATTAAATTACATATAAAGATGTTAAAAGTATAAAGTTCTACCTAAGTAGGTCAAAAAGCACTCTAATGTCAAATGTATCAACATTTTCATTTAATTGCACTTAACATGCAGTTAAGTGTCTGAAAACTCTCACATATTAGTATATTCTTTTAAAGTGTATTATTTCCAAAATAGGTTCTCTTTTTTAAAAGTATGCTAAAGTGTGCAAGGGCAGACATCTTCACACTGGAGTTTTACTCCTGTTTAATATCTGATTACTGTGTAACTTTCCTTGGGCACTGGTAACTGTCATAGTCAGGGGAACGGTCACGCTGTTTTGTTCTCCTCTCTAACAGAACTGTATGTTTAGATGCTTCACAGAACTGACTCGCATGAATCTGGACAGTTTGTGCTCTGATTCCGTTTTAGATGTCAGATACTGTTTCTCTTCTTACAGTTGTCTAAAATTGGTATTACTTTTTGCTCCTCAAAATTTAAGAGTTAAATCTTTGACTAACGTTTTTAACATTTGAAGCTCTAACTTCTTGCTTACGTTGCTTAAGATCATTTATTTTGCTTACGATCATAGCTGACGTTAACAATACAACCTTTATTGAGTCACAGTGTTTGGCACAGCACATGATAAAGCTCTTGAAAGTTTAGCACAGTTAGGAAAAAGATAATATGTAATCTCTGTTTGTGTAAGTGTACCAAACATTGATAACTCAAACGGTAGGAGACGTTCTTCATTTGCAAAATTATCAAACTAGGGCACATGTAACACTTTAACTGCATTCGATACTTTTTCTCCACCTTTGTGGAAAAGAAGTGCACGTAATTGCACTGAATGTGCACTTGTAGTGTACTTCAAATCTTAAAAGTGTATTTTTACTTGCAGATAATATATTAATGAAATAAAAGTGTACCTAAAGAGAGACACTTTCATGACAATGTTTCACGACACACTTAAGTACAGTTTTCAATTGTAACACTTTAACTATATTTTTAGTTGCCAACATTACTTGGTAAACAGCAAAAAAAAATAATTTAATGTCCCATTAGAAAGGAAAATCTAAATTGTCCCTAATGAGATGCAGATTTAGAAGACTCGCACTCAACAATGTCTCAAACTGTGTGCTCAGAGAAAGACAGAAATATCAGTATGGACTTGAGCATTTCCCATTGCTCCAAGACCAAAGTGTCACAATAATTTTATAAGTCAGCAATTGTCTCGTTTGTGTCTTTTTAGGAGAAACATCTGAGGCAGGGTTGATACTTAATGAAACTTAACTGAGAACTGAAGTCCTTGAAGTATGGAAGTCTTACCATGTCAGTACGAGATTCCTGATAAACCCTCATTTTGCAGCAGAGAGGAACCTTCCGGTACAGGATCAACAGCAGCACCACGATCATAAAGAAAAACACCAGACAACAAACTGAAAAAGACAACAGACAATACACATCATTCAGATCTGTAACCTAAATGCTGGCACAATTTATATTTCTGTACTAATTTCAAAGCATTCATACTTAGATCTTGTCTTTATTTCTGCATAATTTAGTTATAATTATATTTGATTAAAAGTCTTAATTAGGCCTGATATATATATATATATATATATCAAAAATACAGAAAAAAACAGTAAAGTTGTGAATTATTATTGCAATTTTAAATAACTGTATTCTATTTGAATATACTTTAAAATATCATTTATTCCTGCGATGCAAAGCTGAATTTTCAGCATCATTACGCCAGTCTTCAGTGTCACGTGATCCTTCAGAAATCATTCCAATTTATTATCAATGTTGGAAACTTGTGCTGCTTAATTTATTTATTTTTTTTAACCTGTGATACTTTTTTATTCATTCTTTGATGAATAAAAAGTTAAAAAGAGCATCATCTTCCAAACAGAAATCTTTTCTAACAATATGTCTTTACTATCACTTTTTATATCAATTTAACACATCCTTGCTGAATAAAAGTTTATATATATATATATATATATATATATACATACATACATACAGTATAGTACATTTTCCAAATATTATTATTATGCTTAAAGATGTTGTGAAGATGCATTAACTCTGTATCTCTGTATTAATAGAAAACTTTAAGACGTTGTATTGTCATTTATACAGTTTATTCATTTTAAAATGAGATAATACTGCCTGTAAAACAAAAAACAAACTTCGACAAAAAAATTGCTTCATCATAGCCCATTAAGACAAATGAAAATGAGTTTTTGAAAGACAATATTTATTTTTAATAAAAACAAATTCCTACTCACATGCACCCACGACGACTGTCCGCTGGTCCGCTGAGGAGCTGGCGGAGGGGACTTTTGGGGACACCGTAGTGGACATCTCTGATAAATTCAACTTTTCTTCCAAACGACCCAAGCTGTCTCATAGCAAATCACCAGAAGAGTAGTGTTTCTTTCTTTCCAGCTTCATTTCAGAGAGTTAAGAGTGACTTGAATCCCAGAACTGTTGAGTGAACTGAACGTCAGTCAAGACTCACATCCTAACCTAACTAGTCCTCACGAACCAAGCAGCGGATACATTGTTGCCATCACTGAATACACTGAGAATCCTACTATGGCTTGGCTTGGCTCATGAATACTAATGAGGTTCGTGACTGGACGCTGCGGGGAGGTTGCTAAGCGACGGTTGCATGGGCTAATTAATATTCATGAGCTTAGCCTTCATCGTAGTAGGATGCGTTCGTTTCGTGGTCAGGAACATGTGAAATAGACTAAAATACAGTTGCGATTTGTTTATGTGCTAGCAGGGAAATACATAAATAAACATTCTCTTTTTTAAAAATAAAAGAATAATAAATAAAATCCATCATATGACAGACTTTCTACCGTATCGCTTAAATTCACAAGCTGATACATTCCACTCGCAGCGGTTGTCTTGGAGACGGGCAAGACTTTGCGCTTTTAAAGTGCGCCGCCCAACGGCAGAATACAACTTCTACATGTGACAAGCCTTTTTATTAGTATTTAGACGTTCATGAATTCGTCTTTTTCATACTAATATTTAAATTCTTTCTTTGCAGACAATCATTTAATTGATTTAATCGAGACTTGTCATAGCACTTGCATATTGTTGCTCTTTTGTTGTTTTTGATTGCTTCTATTGTCATCATTTGTAAGTCGCTTTGGATAAAAGCGTCTGCTAAATGACTAAATGTAAATGTAAATTTTATAAATCTACCTGTTGATAAGAACATCTGATGATCGGGAAGCGAGATAGGCCTGTAACACTACTAAACACAACTAAATAGAAAGTCTGAAACTCTTTGCCTCTCTATCTCGAAATATTTATTATTTTAATGTATTTGTATTTTATGTCTTTTTGCACTTCTTCTATTGATTCTTGTTCGTTGTGTTTTTTCGCCCTCATTGTTGCTATTTTTGTTGTGAGTATAATAATTATTATTCAGGTTGATTATTCGTATTATTTATGGTGGTGAATAAAAGTATATATATATATATATATATATATACATACATACATACAGTATAGTACATTTTCCAAATATTATTATTATGCTTAAAGATGTTGTGAAGATGCATTAACTCTGTATCTCTGTATTAATAGAAAACTTTAAGACGTTGTATTGTCATTTATACAGTTTATTCATTTAAAATGAGATAATACTGCCTGTAAAACAAAAAACAAACTTCGACAAAAAAATTGCTTCATCATAGCCCACTTAAGACACTGAAAATGAGTTTTTGAAAGACAATATTTATTTTTAATAAAAACAAATTCCTACTCACATGCACCCACGACGACTGTCCGCTGGTCCGCTGAGGAGCTGGCGGAGGGGACTTTTGGGGACACCGTAGTGGACATCTCTGATAAATTCAACTTTTCTTCCAAACGACCCAAGCTGTCTCATAGCAAATCACCAGAAGAGTAGTGTTTCTTTCTTTCCAGCTTCATTTCAGAGAGTTAAGAGTGACTTGAATCCCAGAACTGTTGAGTGAACTGAACGTCAGTCACGACTCACATCCTAACCTAACTAGTCCTCACGAACCAAGCAGCGGATACATTGTTGCCATCACTGAATACACTGAGAATCCTACTATGGCTTGGCTTGGCTCATGAATACTAATGAGGTTCGTGACTGGACGCTGCGGGGAGGTTGCTAAGCGACGGTTGCATGGGCTAATTAATATTCATGAGCTTAGCCTTCATCGTAGTAGGATGCGTTCGTTTCGTGGTCAGGAACATGTGAAATAGACTAAAATACAGTTGCGATTTGTTTATGTGCTAGCAGGGAAATACATAAATAAACATTCTCTTTTTAAAAAATAAAAGAATAATAAATAAAATCCATCATATGACAGACTTTCTACCGTATCGCTTAAATTCACAAGCTGATACATTCCACTCGCAGCGGTTGTCTTGGAGACGGGCAAGACTTTGCGCTTTTAAAGTGCGCCGCCCAACGGCAGAATACAACTTCTACATGTGACAAGCCTTTTTATTAGTATTTAGACGTTCATGAATTCGTCTTTTTCATACTAATATTTAAATTCTTTCTTTGCAGACAATCATTTAATTGATTTAATCGAGACTTGTCATAGCACTTGCATATTGTTGCTCTTTTGTTGTTTTTGATTGCTTCTATTGTCATCATTTGTAAGTCGCTTTGGATAAAAGCGTCTGCTAAATGACTAAATGTAAATGTAAATTTTATAAATCTACCTGTTGATAAGAACATCTGATGATCGGGAAGCGAGATAGGCCTGTAACACTACTAAACACAACTAAATAGAAAGTCTGAAACTCTTTGCCTCTCTATCTCGAAATATTTATTATTTTAATGTATTTGTATTTTATGTCTTTTTGCACTTCTTCTATTGATTCTTGTTCGTTGTGTTTTTTCGCCCTCATTGTTGCTATTTTTGTTGTGAGTATAATAATTATTATTCAGGTTGATTATTCGTATTATTTATGGTGGATGTGCCTTATGTTATTAGATGTTCCCTGCCTTGTTGTGTACAATTTACAATAAATAAATAAAATATAAAAATGATTTCTTCTACATCATTTTCATAAACAATCATGAATTTTTTAATCGTGTGCTTCAAATATTATAATTTTAATATTAGGTATTAATATTTAATATTAAAATAGGTGGCAAGCAGCCACCTGGTCATTTCCTCTCTGAATATGAATTGAGATACTGATTCTCAATTTGATTCAGTTGAATCAGAATCATTTGGTTAAAAGACTCTGAACCACAATGCTTTCTCAAAGGTCACTGATCGATTCAAAGTCTGATTCGCAGAGTCGACTCCCTCCGAGTGAGTCACTCGCGGCTGCTATGTGCGAATCACGGGGGAAAGATGGTCGCGAGTACCCGTGTACAGAAGCTCCTTAGACGGTATAAACTCGCAATCGCAGCCGGTTTAACGATCTTGCTGATCCAAGGACTGGTGGTATGGAGCCTGCGGAGTCTGGAGGAGGGAGAGGCTGAGGTAGGTGCTGTTTCATGCGGGCAAATCTGTTCTCCGTGCCTCAGTTACGCCGTTTGATCTGAGGGTTTCTGATAGCATGCTAAACTAAGCTAAAGCCGTCAGTCAGTCTCATTAATTGAACTGTTACTCCAGTAGTAGCGTCGTCGAGTGTAAACAAACGCGTTTGTTGCATTCTCGGAGAAGGTTATAGTATATAAAACACACAAACAATGCAGTTGTTTTGATCAAGTGTTGTGTTGTCGATCATTTAGAGGGGGTTGTTTTGACCGGCGTCGGGTTTTAAATGACTGGACTGACTTCACCCATAACAACTCTATGGCTGTGAATCAAAACTTAAAAGGTGATAGTGTAAAATAGGTAAAGGTAAATAGTGAGCTGTCTACGTAGGCAGCATTTTTGGTTAATCTTAGTATCAAAATTTAGAGAGCTACATATATAGACCGCATTTTAGGACTTTATATTTAGGTAAGTTAATCTGCCCACAATAACATTTTTGGGCTTCGCTGTGTGAGAATCTAGTGAACCTACTGTCTATTGCAATCTTATTGACCATTACAGTATAGGGCTAGTATTAATTGTCCAACCTAGACAGCATTTTAGAGTATCGTAGGTCGCTCACTAGGCTTTGAGATTATAATACACAAAAATGCTGACTACACAACTGAAAATAAAAGCTTCCTAAAGGGAGTTTTCTCGGTGATGCCGTAGAAGATCTACTTTTGGTTCCCCAAATAAAACCTTTTAGTGAACAGTTCCTAAAAGAACCACTTTCTTAGTCTGAAGAACTTACTTTTTTTATAAAAGCTTCCTAAAGGGAGTTTTCTCGGTGATGCCGTAGAAGATCTACTTTTGGTTCCCCAAATAACCTTTTAGTGAACAGTTCCTAAAAGAACCACTTTCTTAGTCTGAAGAACTTACTTTTTTAAAAAAGTTAAATAAATAAAATAAAATCACTATAAATAACATTGTATGGAATGGAAGGGTTCCATGGATGTTAAAGGTTCTTGATGGAACCATTATAGATGCTAATGAAGAACCTTTATTTTTAAGTTTATCAAGGCAACTCATGTTGCATACTACGTTTTGATGCCATTTAGCGAGGTCTAGAGTTCACGGCATTATAGCCTTAAAATCTAGTCAACTATTTTTTTAGAATAAAATTGCTGTTGACTCAGAATGTGCCTGTGATGCCAAAATTGCTGTCTAGATAGGGCGCTTGCTAAGTTTTGAAACACCCTATAATTGAGTCCATTATTCATTAAGTTAGGCTGTTCAGAGTTTCAGTACAGTGTTTCAGCCTTTATTAGAGCTTATACTGACGTTCAGAAAGTTTAAGTGTGCATTAAATGAATATTCGCATGATCTATTTTTCTAAATGCATATTGCAGTTCTTAATTCAGCATATACATGGATAAATTGTTCACATTTAAAAAAAAAAAAAGACCTTGTAATGTTTAATCAAAATGGCATAACTCGATCTTCTGGCGAAACAACAAATGTAACAAACAAATGTTTTTCAAGGTGGTGAATTCGTACAACGTGATCTGTATGGAAACGTATGATTTTTGGGCATAATAGTCTTAAAGCCAAGTGAACTGCCTTACTAGGCTGTGCCTATAATGCCTAGATAGAGAGTTTGCTAGGTTTTGAGACGCTGCCCATAATTGAGTCCACTGTGCACCGAATGAGGCTGACATGAAATGAAAATGTATCCTATCTATTTTCTAAATGCCTGCTATAGATGTTAATGAAACTTATGCATCATGGATAAATTGTTCACATTTAAAAATCATTTTGTGACCTCATAATGTTTAATCAAAATATCATAACTGGACCTTATAGTAGTTATTCTCTTGAAAGACTTCTCTCTGGTGACATATGCTGAACTTAGTCATTTAGTCCGCTTAAACCCTGGCCCTGCCTGGTCACGTTTATCTATACCATCCTGATCTTATAAGAAAATGTAACTATTTTGCGAGGTGGTGTAATTTAAATAGAAATATGCTTTGTATTTTTTTTAAATAAAGCTTAGCTTGATAGTCCTTCCCTAAACATAGCTGTTAATGGTGTGTAAGCAGATTGTACAAATTCATACGAATTAGCCTCTAATGTGTTTACAAATTATTAGAGCCCGACGATATGGGTTTTTTGGGGGCCGATACCGATATTTGGGAGTAAAAAAAGACTGATACCGATATATCAGCCGATATTCTTTGTGTAGGCTATATTATAGTACAGTATAGTACACAGTCTCTCTCTCTCTCTCTCTCTCTCTCTATATATATATATGTGTACTGACCTGTTTTTTATTTATTCATCATTGTACAAATTCATACGAATTAGCCTCTAATGTGTTTACAAATTATTAGAGCCCGACGATATGGGTTTTTTGGGGGCCGATACCGATATTTGGGAGTAAAAAAAGACTGATACCGATATATCAGCCGATATTCTTTGTGTAGGCTATATTATAGTACAGTATAGTCAAAAGTTTGGATACACTTCCCATTCGTGTGTCCAAGCTTTTGACTGGCACTGTATATAGAATACAGTATATAGCCTACTTAAACAGAATATATATACATAAACACGTTTTTTGCAATGATAACTCAAATGTGGTGATCAGACACTTATAATGATGTGACAAACATAGGCCTATGTAATGGAGGCAGGGTATTTAACAATTTAACAATAAACTTTATTATTCAAAATGAGTCTGACATCAGTGCACTTAACAGTAAACTTCACTTCACATATTATATATAACTTCAAAATCACAAATAGAACAATATATATATATAACTTGAATTAAGAAA